ACATAAAATTTATCCAACAAAAATTAGCCCAATCCATTTAAATTTAAAATAAACAAACATTATAAAAATAAAAAAGCCCACAACTAAATCATCATCTACACTTTTGAAAATTGCGTTCCATCAAATCAGACGCCCGAGTACATGTCGCACGCTGGTTCAGCCGAACAACCAACTATGGAATTTTATCATGTGAAAATAATGTATTAGAAAGTTTCGGTTAAGATATGATTATCAATATATTTCAAGATATAAGCCATCGTCGGATACAATTCTTAAAATGTTGATATTTTGACCCGACCCGCTACTAGTATATTTTAGTTTGTTAAATGTTTCAGTGTTATTTAAATAAGGAAGCATGTGGTTTTGGGTTCTATATTCACCACTGCTAAAGGGTACCGGCAACCCAACATCAAGACCAACTTTGTGAATATTGCATGGTTGGAAAACAAACAAAGCAATCGTTTGCAAAGAAAGCTAAGTATAGAGCCACAAATATTCTCGAGATGGTGCATGGAAATATTTCTGGACCAGTTGATCCCCCCACCCAAGCGGGTAATATTTATATTTTAGTTCTTATTGGTGATTATTCTAGATACATGTGGTCTTTTCTTTTGAAGCACAAAAGCGATGCATCCAGAATTATTAAGAGCTTCAATACTTCAATTGAAAAAAGAACTAATAAAGATATCAAGATATTTCGTACGGATAGAGGTGGAGAATTCACATCACATGAGTTGAACCGGTTTTGTGATGAAGAATAGATAGTGCATATGTTGACGGCTCCTTACGCACCTCAACAAAATGGAATTGTCGAATGGAGAAACCGGACTCTACTCGAGATGACACAATGTATAATGAAAGCAAAAAGGGTAGCAAACCAATTTTCGGGTGAAGCGATTCGTCATGCAACTTATATCATAAATCGAACACCAACTCCAACATTGATAGTGTTACACCATTTGAGAAATTTTATGGTGAAAAACCAAACCTTGAAGATTTGAAAGTATTTGATTGTGTTGTATATGAACGAATAGTTTCAAAACATTTGAAGAATCTGATTGATAGGTAACGTCCGTTAATGTATTTTGGGAAGGAACCCAATTCCGGAGGATTTCAGTTATATAATTCGCAGGAAAATAGAATCATTATAAGTGCCTATGCAATTTCTAATGAAAATAAGACATGGAAATGGAGTAATGAAACCGAAATTCAAGCTGGAAATGGACTGGGTACATTTACGATTTTGTGGAGTAATGATCAAGCAACCCAATTTAATAGTGGTTCGAGCCCAACTGCAACTGAAACCGAACAACCCACCAATTATGCCTAAACCGACCAAACCAATGACATTTCTCACGTTGGCAGCAGCCTATTGCAGCCTGTTGATGAGAATAATGATGCAGGTTTTGTCCCACTTCGTCAGTCCACTTGAACTTCAGTTTTCCCAAGAAGATTAAATGACTACAAGCTAAATGTGGATCATTTAGTTTTGACATTTTATTGAGAACCAACGAATTTTAAGGAAGCCAAATTGAACAAGAATTGACTCAATGCAATAAAGGCCGAAATTGACTACATCGAGAAGAAAAACACATATAAACTTATCCTCCCTCTTAAAGATGCTAAACCTATCAGCTTAAGATGGTTGTACAAAATTCAAAGAAATACTAATGGATCAATTACAAGGTACAAAGCGCGTCTATTCGCGTCGATAGCTCGTCTCGAGACAATAAGACTATTGGTTGCTCTTAAAGACAAGAAAGGATGGAAGATGAATCAATTGGACGTAAAAATAACATTCTTATATGTTGAATAAAAGGAAGAAGTGTACGTTTGCCAACTACAAGGTTTCGTGAAGCAAGGTGAAGAAACAAAATTATACAAATCGGCAATCTCCAAGAGCATGGAATTTGAAACTTAATAATACGTTGAAAAATATGGGTTTTCAATGATGCATGCAAGAAAATGCGGTTTATAAAAACGTTTCAAATGGAGAATATATAATTTTTGCGGTTTATGTAGATGATTTGTTTGTGACAGGAACAAGTTTAGAGTTTATAAACCAACTCAAGAAACTAATGGTGTTACAATTTTAAATGTCGGACCTTGGTGAACTAACTTGCTACTTTGGTATTGAAGTATTGAAAGAAAACAGTTGTGTAAAGGTGAAACAAGAAAGTTATGCCATGAAAATTCTAAAAGAAGCAGGCATGGAAGACTGTAATTCAACTCAATGTCCTATAGAGTCCGGACTAAAAATGTCTAAAGCTGAAGATGAGCCTAAAGTTGAAGCTACCCATTATTGAAAACTTATAGGTTGCTTATGATATTTCTTGCACACTCGTCCTGATTTAGTATATTCGGTTGGAGTAGTTATAAATTAGCCGTTACATGCAAAGTCCAAGAAAATCTAATGCACACGCTATTAAGCAAATTCTTCGTTACTTGCATGGCACAACATCTTTTGGAATAATATATAAACAAAGTAAAGATATGAGTTTGCTAGGTTACAGTGATAGCAGTCATAATGTTGATTTTGATGATGGTAGAAGTACAACATGACATGTTTTCTACCTTGGTGACTCACCTATTACTTGATGCTCCCAGAAACAAGATACAGTAGCATTATCTTTGTGTGAAGCTGTGTTCATGGCAGCTACTGCAACTGCATGTTACGCAGTTTGGTTAAGGGAGTTGTTAGGTGAACTGACATGAATGAAGAAACAAGAGGTGTTGATTTGAATAGACAACGCATCAACAATTGCACTGTCAAAGAAGGTTATCTTTTATGGAAGAAGCAAACACATCCACACTCAATTCCACTTCATTCGAGAGCGTGTGGAAAACGAGAAAGTGATAGTTGAACATGTTTCGGGAGACAAGCAACGAGCAGATCTACTTACGAAGGACTTAGCTCAGATAAGGTTCACGGAAATGAGAGCGTTACTTGGCGTGCAAGAATTACCCTCGACTTAGAAATTCAGGGGGTGATTGTTGGCGAATATCTGAGATCGGAAATGGCTAGAAGGCGTGATCCGGTCCAGAAATCAATTACTTGGCGTGTCGTCCAAGTTACTTGTTGTACTGTCATAGTATCCTTGAGTAATAAGGAATTTAGAATAAGGAAAGTATTTGTGGTTTTCTAGTCTAAGTTTGTTTAGTATAAAAACCATAGATAGATTCCTGTATTCATATTAGATTGAAGGTTTTTGAGTTGTTTTTTTTACTTCAATAAAGTTCTTGCGAGTTAGGCATCAGATTTCAGTTTTACTTTTTGTTAGCTTTACTCTAATGCACAGATTATAACTCGGGACCTCTAATCTATGAGGCAAAATCTCTACAAAGTAGGTTAGTCCCACACTGACATATTAGCTAATATATTAGTAATGATCTTTTTTTAATGTAGTGGATTCACAAAATTGGATTTGACAGTTGAGACTTGGCAATTGGTTGGTAACCGGTAACCTAGCATTTGATGTATTTGGTTTGTTTTTGTTGCTTAAACTTTGCCATTGTATTTGTTGGTATGCTTTAAACTTAAGTCATTGTGTTAGTTTGTTTATTGTTGCTTGAATGCCTAAACTAATGGTTACTACGCCTAATTCAATTGTATATTGGTTTGTTTTTTGTTGCTTAAATAAAGGGCGGTGTGGCGGTACATTACAACGGTTAAAACTAAAGTAGACCACATTTTGGAATTTTAGGTTTGTGGGTATTCTCAAATCTCAAGTTTCTTTGTTAAATATATATATATCCATAAGATAAACCTGCAACAATTACGCAGTTAGTAAATCAATTACAAGTCCATGAGATAAGTAAAACTTATTGTAATTTACATTTTTAGTAAATGATTGTAATATTCTAGTTGCAAAAAGAATCCCATGTGAACAGAGACATACTTGCCCTATCGGTTATGAGGTGGAAATCCATAAATAATTAATGTTACAATTTTAACACTTGGGCTTCACCTTTCTGGGAAACTACTTGGGCCTTGTCTTATTCCGGTGACCAAATAGAATCCAAAGAAACTCCAAATCAACCTCTCGCTTTCGCTTATTATCTGACAAAACTGTCAATCTTATCATCACGGGTTGAGTGCTTGAGAGGAACGTTAGCATGATAAAAAAATGAGCTATTTTTGTATTTGTAGTTTATTTAACCATTTACCCAGTTTAACCCTCGATAGCTTTTATATATAGTTATATTTCCCTTTCATTATTATTATTTGTCGGACATCACAAATATCATTATTTGACTTGTTTGAGTGTTTGAGAGGAATGTTACCATAATAAAAAATAATGAGATATTTTCGTATTTGCAGTTTATTTAACCATTTACCGAGTTTAACCCTCGATAGCTTTTATATATCCATATATATAGAGAAACCATTTAGGGCATCACAATGCAAGTAACATAATAGTTGAATGAGGTGATGATTATGATTAAATAAAATATGAATAAGTTGAATGAGGTGATGATTATGATTGAATAAGATACGAATGAAGTTTGGTTGATACATTGAATGGTTCAATAGAAGGAATAAATGGATGATGAGGATTGAATAAGAGCATAATTGGTTGTGGATGTTTATATATATGTGTTTAATGGATGATGTGACAATCGATTGAGCTATAGAATTGAATGGATTGTGAATGCTCTGACTATTTTGATACTTCATTAAATTTTCTTTCAATAATATCTCTACTGGTGTTCTCTTTATTTTGTGGCATATACATTGAATCTAGCAACATTTACATGAAATAATGACTTTGAGTGTAAATTAAAATAACATTTGTAACAAATGAACAACCTAAAAATTAATATCCGGATGTATTACAATTTAAAACAACTACTTTAGTTGCATGTAAAGAACATAAACAAAGAAAAAAAAAGTATCCTCAAGAATAGAGCTGATCATGTTAATAGTGTAGGAAAGAGTCGTCATATCTGGTTTCAAATCCAATTTAAAGGGATGTTGTATTCGATATCTCCTCAAATAATTAAGGATGTTGAGCTCCATCGCAACCGGTCGAACGACATGAGTTTCCATGTTCTTCTCGCTCAACGAGGTGAACGTCTTCTGGGAAGTTGAGCTTCGCTTTACTGCCTCTAAAATTCAGAGCAGCGTCATCGTAAGCTCGAGCAGCAGCAATGGCAGTATCGAAAGTGCCTAACCAAACTCTGCTAGCCTTGTTGGGATCGCGTATCTCAGCTGCCCATTTTCCCCAAGGCCTACGTCGCACTCCTCGGTACTTTCTTTTGGGCTGTTGTTCGTCTTCTCCCAGGGTTTTTGAATTGTATACGTATCTGGTTTCTGTTGCTGCTTCTACGCCATCTGCGACACCATGTTGACCATGAACAATAATGGAGTCTTGAGTCATTACATGAACGTTCTCCTCACGTCCTCTTTTTCCTGCTCGGCCGCTGCAACCACCGCCAGCCACCACATGTGAAAGCGCAGAAACCATTGCTGACATCTCCTCCTCCCTACTACCACTGTAGCCACCGAACATTGGACCCAACACCTCCTCCAAAGTCAGCCGACTGTTGTCATCGTCATCGACCATAATATGGTTGACCATGCACATGCTTTCATGATCCATTGGTGAAGTGAATCGGTGGCTTACCCAACGATACCTGGAGGTTATATATATGACTTTTGAGGTCGGCTAGCCGTGTTATAACCCAACTCTCTCCATCAAGTAGTTTATTTATTCGAGGCACCTAATACTAAAATAATATTTTTCTATCCCTATCCACACTTCCTCAATGAGAAAATTACAACTTTTTGTATATTTTAAGCTGTACCAAAAAGTCTAAATGTGTTTCGAGAAAAGATTATTTCCCGTAAAAGTAAGATTTAAACTAGTGAAATCCAACCAGCTATTATGAGTTATGAAATGAGAATCTATTTAATGTTTTAATGAAATTATTTATCAATAAACCTGCTTAACTATATTTTCGTGTCCATTTTAATAAAAAGTTAGTTTGTAACCGGTGACAAATGTCGCAGGTAACGGTATGTTACTTCTTTTACTTATTAATTGTTTGTTGCAAGATCAACCAAGTATAAGGAATTTCCATTTTAATCATCACTCACAATTATTTCCTGTAAGGATCTTTAATTTCGTTTGAGAAAATTGGCAGCTAATTTGACTTGTTAAACAAATTTATATGGCTTTTTTTATTTAACTTTTATCTTTCTATTAATATCATTATGGTGGTCCCATATCTCACAACTTCTCCAACCTATGCAACGTTGTGATCAATTATGTATGCCGTCATTTTTTACACTAAGACATTGTGGAAGCTCTTTAGATATACCAAATGATCGATTTAAACGTGTAGCCCTCTAATTAGAAATATTTATAGACACGAATCTAACACGGATATCTCCAGCCTATAGACACATCCTATGTTTTATTTATTTTCCCTTTTTTGTCTTAGGAGTTTTACTCTATAAGTAGATATCTCGCTCCATTGTAATAACATAATTAAATATGAAAATTTAGTCTTTTATGAAAATCATTGATATCTTTATAGATCGTTCATCTTGGTGGTTTAGGATCTCGTTGATTTTGGTGGTTCAGGTTGATCCTTTTTTTTTTGGTGGTCCTACATTTGCCTTTACGAATCTTGATGGTGAGACTCTTATCTGAAACCTTTATCGTTTGTCCCGGTGCATTAACATTTATAGACTCTCTCATGGTGGTGTCAAAGTTTCATTTATCATTAATCTTGGTTGTTGGTGATTTGTTATCATCAATATTATTTAAGTTTTTTTTTTTAATTAAGCTATATATTGATTGAATAGTTCAATACATATCGATTGAAGGCAAACGGGCAACAAGCTGCGCCGCTAGCCCTTTC